ATAGTTTTTGTGGTGTGTGTGTGTGTGTGTGTGTGTGTGTGTGTGTGTGTGTGTGTTTGTCCTTTTTTGTTTTTGTTTTTGTTTGTTTTGGTTTGGTTTCTGTGGAGAGCTTTTTGGTGCAACTGATGTATATTGTATCACCTTTATCACATGCTAAATATTTCCTCTTGTTTCTTCTTTCCTTCACTCTCTTCCACAAGATCAGTCGTTGCCTACATCATTACCAAGTTATATTTAAAGTACTGTATCTTGATAATATGATGTTAAATGTTTCCTTGAATATTTGATTATGATTTTCCTAGTTAATATATACATGTATCTTTCTGTAGAAGAATAAATGCATATAGAAAGAACCAGCATTTAAACCAGGATCTCATGACTGAGTAGAAGAGTTGCCGTTTCTTGGTGGTAACAAGATGTAATAGGTCTCTGCAAACCACAACTATTATCTTCATCAATATTTGCATAACAGGCCAGGTGTTGGTGGCACATGCCTTTAATCCCAGCAATCAGGAGGCAGGTGGATCTCTGTGCGTTTGAAGCCAGCCTGGTCTACGGAGTCAGTTCCAGGTCAGGTTCCAAAGCAATACAGAGAAACTCTGTCTTGGAAAGAAAAAAAATGCATTAACAGCACTCCTATAACAAACAAGACAATGGGAATGAACTGGAAGACGGAGAGCAGAGGAGTATGAGTTCCAGGACCCCTACCCCCTTTTTAATAAAGGGCTCAGCTGTTAAAAGCTATGTTCCAAAATAAAGGGGAAAAGTGACTGTCTTTGATTTACCTTAGTCTTACTTAAAATTTTTTAATGGTTTTTTGTTGTTGTTGTTGTTGTAGGTTGTTGTTTTTTGGTTTTTCAAGAGAGGGTTTCCCTGTGTAGCTTTGGCACTTGCTTTGTAGACCAGACTGGCCTCGAACTCACAGAGATCCATCCACCTGCCTCTGCCTCATGAGTGCTGGGATTAAAAGCATGCACCACCAACACCTGGCAATTTTTTAATGTTTTTTTAATTTAATTTTAAATTCACTTTATTTATTGTTTATTTTTATTGAGTATAGATTCTTCTCTCATACAATACATCTCATCCACAGTTACGGCTCCCCTCTCCTCCCATGTCCACTTCATCTCCCCTCCCACCCAGATCCACCTCCCCTCCATTTCCTCTTCAAAAAAAAGAGTGCACTGCACACACATTCTCTCTCTCTCTCTCTCTCTCTCTCTCTCTCTCTCTCTCTCTCAGTCCAGTGTTACAGTAGATAGATCACATGATCACAAGCCTTATTTCCCTTCTTCTTCGAAAACTGTACTTCCTAAATCCTTGAATTCAAGACAGTGGCAAAACAAGATAATGGATATTAAAGACCACAACACATCATCTCTACTATTCAGTTCACCTCACAGAAAACAGAACAAACTGCAGCTATCAAGTAACAGACTGGGAAGAGTGATTTTATAGAACACACAGAGAGCTGATACAGTGTTTCCCTTCTAAAAGCAAAAATGGGACAGTTATACTTTAATTCTATTTGCAACGCTTTTATATGACCTACTATATTAATATGTATAGTGATGGCCCTTATGTTTTAATGTTTGGAATTTACTTAAAAGACACATGATTCACATTAGTCCTTAAAACCCATAAATGTGACTCGTAAGAATACTAGAGTATTCTTTTTTCTCTTTATTTGTTCTCCTTTCATAGAATACATGCCAAAAACAGTTTGCCCTCCTTCCACTCCTCCTAGTCCTCCACACACACACCTCTCCCCTCCCCCATATTCACTGCTTTACCATTTATTTTCCTTCAGAAAACATTAGACTTCCCAGAGAAGAATATTCTATAACATGAAGAGGATGTAAAAACCATCAATTATGAGGAAAACACAAAATCCTTTCTTCTTAAGTATTTACTTGGTTTTCCCCAATGCTATAAAAAAATCAATAAAACAGGATATAAAACCCAATGAATATAAAAATTAATTATTGAATGGTCTGGTAAGGAGCAGTTATGACTCAAGCTCTTAATAAACACAGTAACATGTCTTTTTACATAAAAAACTGAAATATAGGTCACTAAATGATAGAAATAGTTCATGTCACACTGTAATTTAGTAAATTTTGCTTTTTCTTTAAAGTTGCAGTATTTCCTTAATTTTTAAAAAAGAAAACATGAATTATTTTAATAAGGTCAAAGTTTTACTGTCTTTAAGAAATTTTAAGGTCTGTATATGGAAAAACAAAATTGCTTTTCCATTTCAATGTTTCTATTAACCTGGTAATGGGAATTGATATTTAAAAGTTACGGTATTACAGAAATCTTATAACTTCAAATCCTGGATAAATATAATGTCCAGCAAGCTGCCTGATTCCTCATTTCAACTATCTCATGTTGACATACACTGGGTTAACTGCACCATATAAGTGAAAGCAATCAACTCCATTATAAAACCACAATGTACCTGATATTGTACCACAGGAGAACTCTGACAAACTATTCCTTGTTAGCTGTGAAACCGAACTTTGTACCTGAGACAACTACCTCTACTAGGAAATAGCTAAGCTTGTTAGGTCATGAAAGTATCAACAAATGCTATAAGTAATGACTGTAGATTAGGCAAGAATCAAAATCTAACAGGGAAAGCACTGTTCTTTGCTGTTCACCCTTCCTTCATATTTTCATCACTAATTGGACTTAATCACCTAATTAATCACTAATTAGTCTTAACTGATTTCATCCATCTAAAATAGTCATTGTAGAACACATGCATATTGAGTTGTATGAAATGATTTCCCTAATGCTGACTTAAGTCTTACCTCAACTACCTCATTCACTACTAGCAAATCATGTATCATGAGGTCTCATGAAGTAAAACATTTGATGTAATTAGAGTGACTTGTATTGAAGGCATGCCCTGTCCAGACCATCTCTGCTTAATAGCTGTGAAATAAATAGGAACCACATCAGAAGGTTACACTATCTGCCTGTATTAATTCTATGTTATCTGTGTTAAAACTGACCAGACCTCACCTGATAGATTTCTACTTCTCATCATATAAGTTCCATGTTACAGTCATTAAAATAGGAAGGAGAGACTGCAATTACAGTGAGGTTATTTACCCATTTTCTTTCTACAGATTACTGACGCATTCCGAGAATCAAATTTAAGAAGTGAGTTTATCAGAACACATGTTGTCAAACTGAGGTAAGTAAAAGAATATCAAAAGGCATATTTGCAAAGATGCAATATAGTCTGTTTGACTTCTGTTTACACTATAGATATTAAAAGGCATATTCACGTAACTGTTATAATAAGATGAAAATATAAATACTAAGAAAATGGGCCAGCTTAAAAAATGAAGTGAAATGCTGTGTCTATTTTGCTATTGATATAAATAATCATATCACTGCATTCTGGATGGGTACAAGAAAAGCTGGTGTGAGGGGACAGTAACAGGGCCATGCTATTGTGTAAATCCACTGGGTATCATAAAGCAGTCTATGTAAACAGTGCCTCCTTGAGTTGAACAAACTTGAGATGTATTCATCTGAGATCAGCACACCATGCCAACACCACAAGTAAGTTTTGGGCTTCATTTTCACAGAATGTCATAATAAAAGGATGACATTGTAGTAAAGATCCATGACAAGTCTGAAGTGAACTAATAGCAGGAGTGGCAACATGCAGCCTTTGGGAATCTGCTACTCCATGTGATATGACAAAAAAGGCTCTTCCAATGAAAACATTCACACTGAGCAATGTTCCCAGAAATGTCTTAAATGCCCACATTGCTCAATCCTTCATGTGGCAATATGAAAATTCCTTAATGTGCAAAAAGGGTACATGAATTATTCCTCAAATTAACATCACAAAAAGCAGAATTATGGTTAAATTGAGTTTTGATGAGGAATTAGAGGTGAGGAGGAAACTATGGGAAGAGTACCAAACATATTTCTATCTGTTCAATGAGCATTCCTTTGGGTAATTTGTTGTGTCTGTACTAGTTTGTAATACTCAAAGTTTTAAGCCAACACTAAAGGGGTAGGTAGAAAAGGCCATTAACTCCCCACTTCCAACTAATCCACTGAAGTCTGTCTTCTGACCACACTCCAAAATACAAGGTATTCTTTCCAATTTCATCAACAGCATCCAAATCACAAAATCCAAGAAAATCACCTTAGTTCTACTCCTAGACCTCTGCGCACCATTTGGCATTGTTAGCTTGTCCTTGAAATATCATTCACTGTCTCTTAGAACTCTTCACAGCCATGATTTTCCTGTTACCTATCTAGATAATCTCTCCATTTCCTTTGCTAGCTCTAGTATGGTCTTCACATGTTGAATGTGTGTGTGCACTGTGAGCCACATATCATAGTTCACATTCTCTCGTTTCAGTGGCTTCATGATCACTGTGGGTTTTATTTACTAAATATATCTTTATTCGCTTATTTTCAAACTGTGTATGTCATTCTAGATTACATATTTTTTCTATGACTACCTGAACCATATTGATATTTGTGTACTCTCTAACCTATTTTACCCTTTCTAAGTACATTTAGTCAACTTTCATTTATTGTAATAACATATACCTTTGGTTTTATTTTATAATCTTTCATATTCTTTACCCCTGCTTATCATTCTTTGTCCTACTGACTTACTTTATTATGAGTGACTGTGTTTTTCTTCTTTTTTTCTTCTACTATTTAGGGGTTTTCTATTCTAGTTGTCCTATTTTAGTGAATATTAATAAAATATGAACAAGAACTGAAATAATTCCCTATCTTCCTTCAAAATGATACAGGGAATTTGATAGTCTTGTTTCATTATTATCAGTGATGTTCTAGTTACACTTTATTTCCTTTTACAGATGTGTGAGTGCGGTGTGCAGGTATGTATGTGCATAGGCACATGTTTGTGTAGGTGTATGTGAGCACGTATGAGTGTGTATATGAAGATCTAAGGGTGGCACCAAATGTCCTCTTTGATCATTGTCCACCTTTTACACAGAGGATCTCTTTCTGGTCTTGGACTTGCTTTTCAAGTTGGTCTGTCTAGTCATCTTGGACTGGGGCTCCTTCTCTCTGCTTCCCAGGAACTGGGAATACAGGTAGCCTATGATACCTTCTTGGCCTTCACATGGATTTTAAAATAGTAGTGATTTTTCAGCACCTACAATATTTTGTGACATACTATCTATCTTTCTGTGAAGAAGTCACAGTCAACTTCTTTCATTTCCTCTTCATGTTTAGCTAGTCTTTTCTCTATTTTTTGTTAGAAGAATCATTTCTTGGTCTCTGAATTTAGTTCTATTATGTCCTGGAATTCTTATTTTCTTTTGTTTAGTGTGCTTCAGATTCATTGTGATCAGAGACTTCAAGTATTTACGAATTTGGGATAATTCTTTTTTTAATTTTAGAAGCAATCTTATTTACATATCCATTCCCCCATTCCCTCACCCTCCCATCCTCCCATGCTCCACACCAACCACCAACTCACCCCCTCCCCAAAGATAGTGAGGCCTTCCATGGGGGACCATCAAAGTCCATCACATCATTTGGGGGAGGGCCCAGGCCCTCCTTCATGTATCTGAGCTGAGGGGGACCATCAAAGTCCATCACAGCATTTGGGGGAGGGCCCAGGCCCTCCTTCATGTATCTGAGCTGCAATAGTATCCTTCCATAGAGAACTGGCTCTCAAAGTCCATTTGTGCTCTAGAGATAAACACTGGCTCCACTGTTAGAGGTACCATAGACTATCTTGGCCTCCTAGTTGGCACCCACATTCAGAGGGCTTGGTTAGGTCCAATGCTGGTTCCCCAGCTTTAAAACTAAGGTCTCCATGCTCTCACTAGGTCAGGCCAACTGTTTCTGCAGGTTTCTCCAGCACTGTCTTGGCTCCTTTGCTCATTCCTCCTCCCTCACTGCAACTGGATTCCATGAGTATGGCTCAGTGTTTAGCTGCGGGTGCCTGTTTGTGCTTTGATCCGCTACTGGATGAAGGCTCTAGGAATGGTAACCAAGGTGGTCATCAATCTCATTATAGGGGAAGGGCATCAAAGGCAGCCTCTCAAACACTACCTAGATTCTTAGTTGGGGTCATCCCTGTGGATCCCCTAACACTTCCCCTGTGCCAGACCTCTCTCCAAATCTGTATTGTTTCCCTCTATCAAGCATCTCATTTCTTGTCCTCTATTCCTCCCCTGACTCAGTCCTCCTGTTCTCCTCCCCCCTTAATTTCCCCCTCTCCCTTTCCCACCTCCATCCTCTAGCCCCCCATGCTCCCAATTTGCTCAGGGGTTCTTGTCCCCATCTCCTTCCTCGAGGGACTGTGCAATCTTCTCTTGGGGTCCTCTTTGTTTCCTAGCTCCTCTAGCAGTGCGGATTGTAGGCTGGTAATACTTTGCTCTATGTCTAAAATCCATATATGAGTAAGTACATACAATATTTGTCTTTTTGTGACTGGGTTACCTCACTCAGGATGGTTTCTTCTAGTTCCATCCATTCTCCTGCAAATTTCAAGATTCCATTGTTTTTTCCCCCACTGAGTACTCCATTGTGTAAATGTACCACTTTTTCTCTATCCATTCTTCAGTTGAGGGGCAGCTAGGTTGCTTCCAGGTTCTGGCTATTAGATATAATGCTGCGATGAACATAGGTTAACATATATCCTTATTGTATGAATGAGCATTCTTTGGGTATATGCCTAAGAGAGGAATTGCTGGATCTTGAGGTAGACTGATTCCCATTTTCCTGAGAAACCACCATACTGATTTCCAAAGTGGCTGTACAAGTTTGCACTCCCACCAGCAATGGAGGAGTGTTGAATTTTGGATAATTCTTACTGTTTTTCCTAATATTACAGTTGCTTTCTTTTTTTCAACCGCTCATACTTTCTGCTCCCTCATGTCCTCGGCATCCCTCTTCGTCTCCCCTTCTCATTCTCCTAGGCCCCTCCCCTCTCTTCCCGTGCTCCCAATTTACTCTATAGTTGCTATCTTTTGTCTGCTCTCTTTAGCATTATTTCAGTATATGTTGAACTTTCCTTTTTCTCTTAATGTCTGTTTGATCATGTTCATTCTTCATCTGTTGTTAGACTCTGTAACTTCTTCATATCCACCTCTCATTTAACTGAATATCTTTAACTTTGACCAACATTCTTTGTAAAGACTTATAAAGCTGTTACTTCACTGAAGGTTTTTTGTCTGTTTAGTTGGTTGGTGATTGTTTTATCAGAAAGCTTTACTGGGTCTTTTGTTTGTTTGTTTGTTCTTTTTCTGTTTTGTTGAGATAAAGTGTTACTTTACAGCTCAGGATGGCCTCAGACTCATTCAATTCTCCTGCCTTAAATTTCAGAGTGCTGTGACTACAGGTATGAACCACAACATTCCACATGCCTCCTTTGGGATGGGGAATAAAAATTTTCTATTTTTCTCATTATTATAATTCTTTCTTTTATATCCTTAATCACTTCAAATGTACTTCTCCACTGGTGATACTGTGTTGAGCACTTCAAAGTGCTTCTTTGTCCCTTCTTACTTCAGCTTGTTAATACCTTAAAGATTCTGAGAATACACAGGTAGTATTAATACAAACACAAATGTTATATAGCCAGGCTCATGATTCCTAATTTTCCAAACTACGCCTTTGAAAGAGTTAAACCTTTTCTTTATGATGAGCAGGTTTTTACTTCTCTTTAATTCATGCTTACACTAGAGTTCAGTTGTTTTAAATCTAAATGCCCACTCCATATGTTTCACTCACCCAAAACCTAGCTGCTATGCAATTGTTAAATGGAAGCCTATTAAATATTCCAGAATATATAACATAACAGATTGTTTTTGACACTAGAAATTTTCCTCACTATCACATGATCTTAGTCTTGAATCTGAAATAGATTCATACCATTTTATCTAACATTTGCATAACATTTTTAAAATTGCTTAGATTTAACATCATATAAATTGTAATTGTTCTATTGTCTATTGCTCCATCTAAATTGGCCAATCATGAGAGAGGCAACAGTGAAATTTCATCACAGCTAATTACTGAAACTTAGAGTCGTCCTAGCACCAGAAGATTTTGTTTTTACTTGTTAAAAAATATACTAAATTAGTTCCTGGGACAGATGGTAAATGTACTATTTGAAGTGGCATTTGATATGGGCCAAGGAAACCAAGAGGTATATGAAAGACCTCAAGCCAAATTTGCCTACTGCCCTTTTTCCAAACAGAAGCAAACTGTCCTGGTCAGGTTACTATTGTTGTGATGAAACACCATAACAAAAAACAACCTGGGTAGGAAAGGGCTTACTTGGCTTACACTTCCACATTAATGTTCACTGAGGGAAATCATGGCAGGAACTGAAACTGCACATGAACCTGAATGTAGGAGCTGATACAGAGGCCATAGAGGAGTGCTGCTTACTAGCTTGCTCATCATGGCTTGTAACGATAACTCTTTCCACCAGCCCCCTGAGTTCCATCGCCATATTAGGACCCGCAAATAACATACAGAGATTTATATTAGGTACAATACTGCTGGCCAATGACAAATATTTCTTACTTGCTAGCTCAGTCTTAATTATCAACCATAACTACGAATCTATATAATTTATAAAGACTTATAGAGAACGCCGATGGCATACGTCCTCTCTTGCTGAGATCACATGGTGATTCTGGCTCTCTAAGCCTATTTTCTTATAGAACATAGGACCCCCCCCAAGTCAGGGGTGTTACCACCCACAATGGGCTGGACCCTCCCCCATAAATAACAAATTTAGAAATTAACCTACAGGCTTTCCTACAGCCTGATCTTCTGGAAGCATTTTCTCAATCAAGTTTCCCTGCTCACAGATGCCTATAGCTTGTGACAAGTTGGCATAAAACTAGACAGTACACAAGCCAACACCAGATGGTGGAGGTGGCTTATGATGTTAATTATTTGTAAGTGAGGATGCAATGAAACCACGAAACTGGATCACTCCACGAGTAGAAAGAAAGGTTTTCTGGGATAAGATCAAACTGCTGTCTGGGGGACAGAGAACATTAACTTCTCAGAAAATCAGTCCAATTTTATTCTGAAATTTTATTTTATTTTATTTTATTTTGGCTTACATATATATGTATATATTTATATTTATATAAAAAGAGCAATAATGGCTATATGTTATGCATCAATAGCAGCAACAGTTTTCTAGGTTCTGTAGTCCTTTGAACAAAATTGTAGAGACATCCAGCACACTCCATTTTAAAAAAACAAAAACAAACAACAACAACAACAACAACAAAAAAGTAAAAAACAAAATCCCAGAAAACAGCGCAGTTCTGTTACTCTTGTAGTACTTGACACCATTTTTTTTTTTAAATTAGCTTCTCAGTCATCATCTGGGAGGAAACCATTCTGAGCAACATCATTAAAAACAGCTCTGATAAAGCATGGTCACTACTGTGTATCATAAAGCAGGTCCACATATGAGTGAGTACATATCATGTTTGTCTTTTTGTGATTGAGTTACCTCACTCAAAATGGCATCTTCGAGTTTCATCCATTTTCCTGCAAATTTCAAGATTCCATTGTTTTTTTTCTGCTGAGTAGTACTCCATTGTGTAAATGTACCACAATTTCTCTATCCATTCTTCGGTTGAGGGGCATCTAGGCTGCTTCCAGTTTCTGGTTATTACAAATAATGCTGCTATGAACATGGTTGAACATATGTCCTTGTTATATGAATGTGCTTCTTTTGGGTATATGCCTAGGAGTGGAATTGCTGGATCTTGTGGTAGACTAATTCCCATTTTCTTGAGGAGTCGCCATACTGATTTCCACAGTGGCTGTACAAGTTGGCACTCCCACCAGCAGTGGAGGCGGGTTCTCTTTCTCCGCAGCCTCTCCAGTATAAACTGTCATTGGTATTTTTGATTTTGCAGCCCAATTTTACATGCTGGTCAGCAGAGTAGGAGTCTTGGATCTGGTATAAGTTGTTTGAGAACTAGAGTAGTTGACTTTTGTGGTGGATAAAGGAGGTAATGGTTTTCATGATGAATGGAAATCTACCTTACAAAATTCCTGAGGAATGCTGAATTTAGGCTTCTGTTTATCTAATAACAGTCCCTCTGCTTACCCAGTCAGAGACCTGTTTAGGAGATTGTCACCAGTACTGGCATTTTGGAGGCCCAAAATGAACTAACATTATTGGTATGAAATAAAGTAGAATTTATCTAGGTTTTGATATGTGGTTCATTGTGAAAAATTAGTCTCTAGGATCAATCAAAACAGAAATAAAATCTTAACATATGACTATAAATTTGTTGCTGTGGTCAGATGAAAGGTTTTGTGTAACAGAAAATTAACTTGATGTTTTAACACAAATCAATTTGGATGCTCATCAATTTTTAAGTTTGTTAAGACAATAAATATTTTTCTCAACTTGGTAAAGTCTAATAACAGCTAATGCTTTCCATGCAATCTTTCTAAAACTTCTATATAAATTTCTAATCATCACAGAAACCCAGTTAAAACAGTAAGATTTTTGGAATTAGTGTATTAAGAAACCTAAATAGTTTATGAAAAGTCCCATGTTGGTAGCATTCTGATTTCAAAATACTATTCTGTATGATGATTATGGTGAGTTGTGTTGAAACCAAATTTGGGAAATAGCATTGGGCTGTATCATTTAGTGTCCATTGTTATGCAGCTATGTTCCCAAATGAATTCTTTTAAGAAGGTTTAATCAAGAAGAGCATATAGCCGGGTGTTGGTGGCACACACCTTTAATCGCAGCACTCGAGAGGAAGAGGCAGGCGGACCTCTGTGAGTTCAAGGCCAGCCTGGTCTCCAGAGCAAGTGCCAGGATAGGCTCCAAAGCTACACAGAGAAAAGGGAAACCCTATCCCGAAAAACCAAAAAAAAAAAAAAAAGAGCATATAAACAACACAAAGGTATCAAAGTGTCTGTTTCTGATTACTTGCAGGAAAGAAGGGAATGGTGTGATCGCAGATGCTGTCATGAAATTTCGATCTAGTAAACGCATCAATAGAAGAGTCATGAAAAACAGAATTCAGTCTGTGCTACGAATACTGAGTAACTCTGGAAGCTTGGAAATAGCCCCTTCTAATGAGATAACATGCAAGTATCATTTCTATGACTTTTCATTTTAATATATCTTTTAATTTTACTCACTCAAATTCACATATTCATTAAATGAGAATCCCACCTCATTATTTGTATTTGAACTATCAAAACTACTACAATTCTAAATGTAATAGACAGTTCTCTAACATAAAACATTCTAGGATTTTCTTTTTTACTAGTTAGAAATGTTTTCAAGGTTTGATTTTCTTCTTAAATGCAATAATTACAACATGGGACGAGATCTATTTCCTAGTGTCCACATGAGGGCAATATATTTTAACTTTTTCTACTGTTTTGAGCCCTGTATAGAATGACACAACATGATAAAGAAAACATATTAATTTTCTTTCTGAAATTGATTAGGTAAGTTAAGACTATTCCAATAGGAATGAATTTTAGAGGTTGGAATTTAAAAGGACTTATGGCTTCAGTTTTATCTTTGTAAAATGGGAATATAATTCCTGACTGATAGCTCCAATCTGCATAAAACATGTTAAAAATGCTTTTTTATCCTATAAAATTTATTATGACAAAACCTGCAAATACATAACTTGCTTAAAACCTATTTTAATTGACATGCGGTCACAAGATCTATATACAGGGTACAGAAGCATTTCAGTACATGTCTACACTATGCAATGATTAGATCAGAGAAACCAGAATGTCTATTACTTCAGACATTCAACAGTTCTTTGTTTGGGGGACAGTTAAAGTCTTCTATGCTAAGTATTTTTTAAATATTCATTAATTGCTGTCAACCATAGTTCATGACAACTGTAGAACATGAAAAGCGACCCTTCCTACCCATACTTACCTGCCAATGCATTCTCCATCCCCTCCCCATTCTTTGATCCAAGACACCCTTTATAGGTGCAGATAAAAACTACCCTACTCCCTACTTCTTCAAGTTTAATGTTTCAGTTTCCACATCCAAGTGAAACAAGTATTTGTTATTTGTCCCTGACTTATTCTTACTATACAATGTCTTTGTGTTCTATATTGTTTAAAATGACAGAATTCTGTTGTTTTATTGCTACATAATATTCCACTTTTCCCTGTAAATTTGCAAATTACTGCTGGTCATTGTGTTGGCTAGATTTTGTCTATTTGACACAAGCTAAGGTCATCTGAGAGGAGGAAACTCAACTGAGAAAATGTTTCTATAATATCAGCCTGTAGGCAAGACTGTGGGTCATTTTCTTTTGTTTATGATTGATATGAGAGGACCCAGCCTGCTGTTTGGGTTGGTAGCATTGGGCAAGTGGTCATGGAGTGTATTAAGAAATAAAAACAAATTGAGCAAGTCAGGTGGAGACAGTCAGTAAGCAGCACTCCTTCCTGGCCACTGCTTCAGGTCCTGCCTCCAGGTTCCTGCCCCGACTTCTCACAGTGGTAGATTGTGATATGGTGTTGCCCCAAACGCGCGCGCACACACACACACACACACACACACACACACACACACACACACACATTACTCTTGATCATGGTGTTTTATCACAGCAATAGAAACCTAATTAATACAAATATTGACAGAAGATTCATAGGATATTTCTGTGGTAGACCTGAGATTAGTTTGGGCAAACTGTGTTAGGACTTTGGAACTTTAGGCTAGAAAAGCCATTGATTGGTCAGAGCATAGTGAGCTATTATGGGAACTCACAAGATAATGCTAAAATTAATGCAGATGACAGTGGCATGGCTTGTGAAGTTTCAGAGGGAAATTTAAGAGGCCCGTATAGACTCTGTTGGGACCATTCAATGCTTTGAAATAAAAATCTGTGATTCTAGTTTAGCTGCAAGTGAAGGATTAACTGTTATTAATAAGAAGCCAGGATCACTAAAGTGAAATCTTCTGGCAAGTGTTTCCTCAGGGTTCAGAGGGAGCTAAGAAAGGAAAGTTGGTTGTTGAGTGTGTCAAGTTGATAATGGGTCAATTTTCCAAGCTAATTTGACACAAGCTGGAGTCATTTGGGAAGAGGAACCTCAATTGAAAAAGTTCTCTGACAAGATAGGCCTGTGAGCAAGCCAGTGGGTTATATTTTTTTATTAATAATTGATGTGGAAGAGCCCAGTCCTTTGTAGGTGGTGTCAACCTTGGTTCCAGATAATCTGAGAATATAGGCTGTGCAAGCCATGAACAAACCAGTAAGCAGCATTCCTGTGTTGCCTTGGCTTTATTCCTACCTCCAGGTTTCTGTCTTAAGCTTGTGACCTGACTTCCCTCAGTGATGGAATATCACCTGGGAGCTGTAAGCCAAAGCAAACCTTTTCCTCTAAGGGTACTTTTGGTCACAGTATTTATCACAGTTGTAGAAAACATACCTAAACAACATTTTGACCATTTTGAGCAGTTCCACAATACACGTGAGGTGTCATATCACGTTGACAACTGACTGATTACCCAGCAGGGGATAGCTGAATCATATGGTAGTTCTATTTCCAGTCTTTCTTTCTGAAAGACCTCCTAACCATTTTCCATAATGGTAATAGTAATTAAGACATAACTTTTCTACATAAACGTGAGAAGGGTCTCCAAAACCTGAAACATGGAAAGAAGAAGCTTTATCTGAGAGGGAGAGATGGAGAAAAAGCAAGTACTCTAACACAATGCTTTGACAGAATAATGAAACAAGAACTGACGGATATCCTGTAGCTTCTTTCACTCCCATCTAGAAAGCATAGATAAGGACCCAGGATCAGAGGGTCAATATGTTGGCAGTTAGGATTCAAACTCAAGTCTTCCTTAGTCAAAGAAGGAAGAAAAGTTATTGGTTATTATTTGTTTGTTTGTTTGTTTTTCTGCTTCCAATAGGATGACTTGGCCCTACTGATGCTTACAAAAGCAAATAAAATGCACAAACCTTATGAAACTGAGTATCATTTTGCATGAACTATTTTAAAGTTTTCAAAGTATGAAATCCTATCTTATGAACTTTGGTTTCATTTTATTGAAAATAAGAAGATAGATGGCCCACTAAAAATTTTCAAGTCTGGCAGACAATAACCTGACATAGTTTCAGTGCTATAAATGGAAATCAGTTTGAAGGTATCATAACTATTTGAAGGTATCAAACTGTTGTTTGATAAGTGTCAAACAATAAAAGTATGGAGTATCAAAGAGGATGAGGCTCTTTCAAAGAAATGAAAATGAGAAAAGGGAAACTTTAGGTCATTTCTAACTGCCTATAAGTATAGTATTTCTTACTGATTGATGAAATATATCAAATTATTGATAAAACATGCTCATACTGAGTTTGAAATGACTATAAGACCTGTCTTAGAAAACTGCTCTGAAGACAAACCTGGAAATAGAGCACACAGACTGTCACTACTCAAAGCTGACGTTGTCTACTGTCACTACACAAAGCTGACGTTGTCTTGCCTGGCACTCCCAACATCCCGTAAGCAATACGTGTAGTAGTCTACTGACTATTGCACAACATACATCTTACATCCTGGAGCACAGATGCTATCTCACCTTCCATTCAGAATGTCTTTTTCCTTCTAGTCCTCATGGACTATTCCTCAGAGTTTCAAAGTACAGTGCAAATGTTATGTCCTTTGTGATGACATCTATGACTCTCCTGGTATCATTACCCTTTCCTCCACTTTACTTTTCATCCATAATAATTCCTTGGCTGGTATCAATCTGTAAATAACATGTTGAAAGAGCCTCTGTTTTGCTAGCTCTTGAAGAAACAGCACATAGTATAACATTAGTAAAGTAATACATGCATACACCAATGTCTACTCACAGGTATATTTGAAAAATGAGCAATTAGCTTCTATGTGATAATATATTGAATCCTAATGACTGCTTAAGCCTTTCTTTTGCTAAGAGAAATGGGTGACTTTTGAATTTGTTCCCTCCCACATATCTCATCACCAATATTGTCAGTTGGTCCTTCTAGCCTTAAAATGTCTCTAGGTCCATGGCTTATGTCTACTACAAGCACCTGGTAAATATTTCATGAAGGATGTAAGCACAAACTTCCAACAGTTTGTGTGCAACAACAAACTAGGATGAGGTTGCAAAGAGAGATTTCTAGGGCACATGACTCAGAAGTTCTTTCCAAAGGCTTGAGGTGGAGCCTGGGAATCTGAATTTCAGCTAACCCTCCCAGTGACTGTGTTTCCGGTTGCCTTAGCACTGAGCTTCATGAAATCAAGGTGAAATGATTTTCAGCTTCTATTTTGTTGATCTTATTCTCACTCTTTCTTTTTTAACATTAGCACTCACTGACCAGGATACAGAAAATTTTTTGACTCAAGGTAAGTTTTTTTAATTATTCTGCAAGTATTTATAGAATTTTAAGGACTTAAAATCCAAGTCTTTTGGAGCTCTCTGCCAAAGCCTTATTTGTGAACTTGGTGCCTTCATTCTGAGTTCCCTCTGCAGGGTTCTTGTAGAAAGCAGGAATTGCTCTTCACACTGATGTCCTAATGTTTATGTAAATTTCTCCTTCTTCTGGGAAAAAAAAACAAGAATGGAAGCACAGTTGAGTATAATCCACTTGGTGCTCAACCCCAAGCTCCAGGCAATTTTCTTGGCAGTTCAGGGAAGTTTTGTTGGTGTGGTTCTAAAGCAGTGTTTCTGTAGAGTTGTAAATTATGTTTGATGACAACATTCATGTAGATTTTGAACTACCAGAGTACCTTGCTTTGTTGTGGATTTGGACTAATCATAAGGTAATAAATTGTAAAATGTATTGTCAGTTTGAAGCCTATAACTTGAAGGGAAAGTCATGTTCCAATGCCACTCAATATACACTTTTAGACTAAGAGGACAGGCATAGAACTAGAAACATGAAATTTACTTCTCAGATCAGCCAAATGTAGTTAGAAATTAGTTCCATGTATTTGGATTTCTGATTTATTTTAGATACTTAAGAGATTTTAAAGGGTACTTCACTCCAAGATATTTTTCTACTCAGTTCTGTGTTTAATTTACAACTATTTTGAACAAATCTGTGATAAAATAATTCACCAAGGAATTTATTTGGAGAAGGCAAGAAAAGAACTCATACTCATGTATATCTCTTAATGAAAGTCTAATCCTCTTTTATTGGGAAATTTATGAGAAAACAAATGCTTATAATTAGCAATTACCAACCCAGCAATAGAAATTATTAGTGATATACATCTGTTATTATTAATAAACATTAGACTAACTACAAGAAGAAATATTATAAGGCTTTGGGTTGAAAACTGATGAAATTAACCCATTCCAGTCCATTTAACTTCTGTCACTGAAATGTTTGTAGGTTTCTTAAGATATTTAAGGGAAGTTATATTCTATTTTTAAACTATGTTTTTAGTGTGTGTGTGTGTGTCCATATGCACATGCTATGGCATGACTATAAAGGGAAGTCAGGTCTCTCCTTCCATTTTATGGGTCTTAGGAATCAAATGTACATTGTCAGTCTTGGAGGCAGGCTCCTTTGCCAGCTGAGTAATATCACTAGGCCTAAACCTATATTCTAGAAATTAGAACCTCTGTCATAGTCAATTCCTATCAAAGGTACTGTTACTTATACCTAGCCAGGGAAGGAGGACTAGAACATCCATGATGAACTACAATGACACTGAGGGGCTTTTGGATACAATGGTTTTATTCTAACTTCACTATGTGCATGCATCTTTCCTTGAAATAATAGTTTGTGACTTGTTCCATGGTGTGGGACTGAAAGTCATTATTTCCAACAAGTTTTCAGGAGTAATCATTTTATAGGGTCATGGGTCATATTTTGAGTACCTAGGAAAAGGAAGTCTTACAGGAGTTTGGGACCTGTGGTGACATATCCAGCACTGACCTTTGTTAGCACACAAAGTATCCCAAACCATTATGAAACTGCTCAAGAATTTGATGGCCTTATTCAATTAAGTTCAGAAATGTACTCAATAATGCAGTCCATATACATGCCTGTACTCTAAAAATAAAACATACTGAACAAGATATGCAGGGATTATACATGTCTATAATCCCAGCACTTGGGGGATAAAATTGGGATGATCAGTAGTTCAAGGTCTTTCTCAGCTATAGAGAGAGTTTGAAGCTAGCCTGGGCTATATGAGGCCCTGCCTCAAATAAAATAAATAATCACGAATTTGGAATATCCAGCATATTGTAGGAAAAGGGTGGAAAAATCATACATGATGGAGAATCCTCGCAGTAATTTTTTAAATGAAAAGAACCATCCCCTTGCCAGAATGTTGAAAAGGGTGGAAAAATCATACATGATGGAGAATCCTCGCAGTAATTTTTTTTTAATGAAAAGAACCATCCCCTTGCCAGAATGTTAATACTTTTTTTCTTTTAAGAATGTGGAGCCCGTCCAGACCTTATAACACTGTCAGAAGAGAGAGTTATTGGAGGCACTCTAGCCGAAACAGGTGACTGGCCCTGGCAAGTCAGTCTACAGCTCAATAATGTCCACCACTGTGGAGGTATCCTGATCAGTAACTTGTGGGTCCTGTCAGCAGCTCACTGCTTCAGAAGGTGAGTCCACAGCTATTCTTCCATCTGGGAATAATTAGGAAAGACAGCTACAGGAAGACTCCACCCACTACTCCCAGGACTAAACATAATTGGGTTAACCCCTAAATAATTCAATGGAAATTATCTCTGTCTTTTTTATTTATGGAAGCATAATTGTCTTTTCTCCTTTGGTGTAATGATTTGCTGATAGTTCTCTTTTTCATATGACAGTGTTCCAGCATAGCAAAGAAAAAAAGATCACATGCTAGCATGCATAATTTAAATCCTTGTTCTAATAGTTCATAGAATTTACTTAACTTCACTGTTTTCAAATTAGGGGCAACACTACTATCTGAGTGTTGATGTTACTAGTAGGACTGATTATAATATTGATTTTTTAAAAAATGTTAAGTTGTTGTGGTCCAAGCTGGGGATGTAGTTCATTGGTTAAAAGCACTTGTTGCTCTTTCAGAGAATCCAGGTTCAATTTTCAGCACCCACATGGTGGCTCTAGCTCCACAGCATCCAACACCCTTTTCTGACTTCTGCAGGCACCAGACATGTATGTAGTACACATACACTCAGATAAAACATTCATAACCATCAAATTAAATAAGTAAGATTATTAATAGACTGATGATCAGCCTAGAGCCTAGAAATTCTCACTAATTTAATTTTCCAAAATTGATTTAATGCCTATATGGAATGCAATAGAAGCACCAAATACAAACAGCAGTGCTACTCCTTCAGAATGGTTATATTAAGCCATTTACAACCAGACATTTGAATTGGTACAGGCTATTACTTACATTTGGGTAAGTGGCTGTTGGAGAGCAACTGTGCAAACTGACTCTGTTGGTACAAGGTGAAGCTCACACTGCTCCTAATAAAAGGATTTTTGTATGTTCAACATGATGAAACCTTCTACTCTCAGACAATGTTGGTACTGGACATCCAAGGCTTTAAAATTTTGGGGAAACTAAACTCAAAAAATCACCCAGAAAAGTAAACCCGGTGTGTCCCTAACCATTTTTATTTTTTTCATCCTTTTCCAATTATTGGAATACAGCATCCTTATCATATACATAAATCCACCCTCACTCAAATCAGTCCAAACTTGTTTCTGCAACTATTCATCCTAAGCTTCAGGCTTGTAGCATGTTTCTCATCTGGCTCTTTTTATGTTTCCCCATCTGTAAAACTTCTCAAGTTGATTTTTTCCCTCAAATGTTATCCTCTCCATATCCCCATTTGTTCATACTGGTATTCTTTGGGATATTAACAATTCCAAAGAGATGCTATTGAGATCTGAGAGCACTGTCTTTTATTACAGTGTTTTTTAAAACAAGACCATTTATTAAATGAAGAGGAAATAAACATGAACACACATACTGGTATTCTTTGGGATATTAACAATTCCAAAGAGATGCTATTGAGATCTGAGAGCACTGTCTTTTATTACAGTGTTTTTTAAAACAAGACCATTTATTAAATGAAGAGTAAATAAACATGAACACAAGCATGCAGTTTCTGAATGAAGGTTCTAGGAAACCTCACATTTTTCCAAATCTTTCTGCTGATATTTCATAACTCAGTGTTAGTGAATAAATTTAAAATTTATTTCAGAGATCCCACTAAATTCATATGATTCTGGTTTAAATAGACATACTTGCTGCTGCATTTCAGGTGATAGAAAAAATTCATAGGTCGGGCGTTGGTCACCACCAACGCCTTTAATCCCAGCACTTGGGAGGCAGAGGCAGGCGGATCTCTGTGAGTTTGAGGCCAGCCTGG